TGTAGTAGCTAATTGTTCTTTACCTATCTTTGTTTGCTGATTTTTAATGTCTAAAAATTGTTTTTTAGTAAAATGCTAAAAATGTGTATTCTCAATATAATTATAGCTTGGATCAGTAAATTGGTTAACTGAGGCATTGCATGTTCGACAACTATGAAGAGCATTATGCTGCTTAATGTCTGCCAAATTATTACCTTGTGGTAAATCTGAGGTGATACATCCGATACCACCTACAATTCAAGCTTCTTCATATAATGTATTCATAATTAAACCATTTTCTAAATGCTGTGTATCTTTAAGTACTGGTTTGATAAAATTATCAAAACTAGTACCAAATGGAACCAAACCAATAAGAAAATAGTTTTTAAGCAACCTCTGATCTGACTGTAACATATTACTTAATTGCATATACACACCCTCCAAAGAATGATAAACATTCCTGTAGGTACTAAAATTGTCATAATAAATATCCAAAAATACTTTAAATATTGGCATTGGTTGTAAAGAAAGTCTAATCATGGTATATTCATAAGGCAACTGATGCCTTTTTGAAATATCACGATATTTCCAATGATCATTTAAATTATATACAGTTTCTTTGACATAGTAATTATAAGTGTAAGGCTCTGGTAAATCACAATGCCATACTGTAATATGTTGACAGATGTCTTCTTGGTTAATAAATGTTAAATCTCCTTCAACAATCCACAACTCTTTTCCATTATTTTGGGTATATTGATCACTATCAAATTAGCAATTAGGAAGGTTTGAGTATTGAAGAAGCTGACCAACTTTGACTTTATAAGCTTTATTAATTTCGTTTGTCACAACACCATGTATGCAACATATAAATTGAGATGATTTTTGGCACAAAACAAAATCTCCTTCCTTATATATTATTAATCAAATATGATTATTTAGAAACTTTAAAGCTAATAACTTCAGAACTCACACTAACCTTTGTTATTGTATTTTATTTCATGCTCTCCAAAAAGTGGTAAATTTTGCCAAAGATTTCCATGCCAAAATTCACTTTTTTCCTCTTTGACAACACCAGGCTCAAAATATAGCTTGGGCATTATTGTCAGATTATTTAGTATATGATCCAAGTGTGCCAGAGGTGAAATTGTATATGCTTTTTTGATAGGCATAAGCATTGATGGTGCTTTTTCTTTACAAACAGACACTTCATACTGACATATTGTAAGTAAAGGCAATCTATATCTCCACTTGCGCATATGTCTAATATTTTTAACCACATCTTCTTTGCGGAACTTAACATAAGTAATAATTTCAGCAAGGTCCTCATAAGTTTCAGTTGCTACATAATGATACCATATTTGTAAATACAATGCATATATCGATATATGCATATATCTTGAATTCCAATCTGGGTCGAAATTTCATTTTTTAAAAAATTATATATTGGTGTAATACCGATCCAGATTGGAACCTGTAACTAATTACCAAACAATTACTGTAGCAATTTAAAATGAAATCAGATTAAAATAAATTTTAGATAATACAAAATAGACAAGTCACTGAAAAATACAAATTTTGAAATACTTTTTTTAGCCTTTTTTTAGTGTTAGAGGTCAGCATTAGGGGTCAGCTTTAGAGGTAGAATGTATATTAAACAAGTATAAGTTGGTTTTAAGTACTAAATAGAAACTTCAAATTTTATTTTAATTCGATTTCATTATGATCTGCGACAATTTCTGTACTCACTAATCATATGTCTTGTAATCCAAGCATATAACTTAGACGATGTAAAATTTGGAAAGTAT